AAAAAAAAAAAATTTCTTGATGTTGCAGTGATGGCTTACCTTCTTTACTCCATCAATTATAGTATTGAGGATATCACGTTTATTGATTAAAGGCATCTCTATCAAATTAAGCAAAACTCAAATGAGCACAATATGAACCGATGGAATTGTTTATAAAGACCGAGCTTCCCGCACTCAAATGCTATGATGACACTGCCAGGAATTCAACTACAGTAGAAAAAAGAAGAAAAAAGAAAAAGAAAAAAAAAAACAAAAAAGCTGGTTTTTTAAATTGTCTCGTCATCACTGGGCTGACATCACATCAACCAACGACGACAATCATCGATGACGAAACAAGTGGATGAGTCATGATATTTTGTTGTCTTTCAGGAGCAGGAGCGATCAATTGTTAGAAGATGGGAGGAATGAAGTTATGCAGGAAAAAAGTGTATTAAATCAAATAGATGATGAGCCATTGACGACTGTTACATTCAAAACACCACGCATTTTACGGTTGAAATAACTGATTGAAACAAAAATAGAAAGAAAAAACTTGAGTGTAAAAGAAACGAAAAAAACTGTCGCTCTTACGCGGTTTCAACTGATGCTGAAGTTAGATGAGCAGCAAGTGCGTTTCCTGACCAGTTCACAAAATCTGAGATGCCTGCCTACACACCAAAGTCAGAATTGGTTTTTGAAGATGATTTACGCTGAGGATAAACCAGTGAGTCACCCGAGAGCTTTGCTTGTGGGATTAACAAAGTACGGGTGCAGAGGTTGCAAATCTAAATTTATGCTCCTAAGTAGGATTCAGATCTCCCTCAAAATTAAAAAAAAAAAAGCTAGAACACCTACGCTGTTTTAAACAATAATTAAAGTCAGAAAATGTACAAGAAAAAGGACAGGACAAAAAATTTATATAAACTAAAAACTATTCAAACAATACCGCTGGCAAGTCTATGTCAGCAAACTGCTTTTTTTCTTTTTCACTTGAAAACAAACCGTAGACTTCCCAAATTTCTATGTTGGGAACAAATTAGTAAACGAATACTTTAAGCAATTTCGCGGTGCTTTTTGCATAATTTTTCTTTCAAATCCACAGGTAAAACTGAAAAGAAAAGGGTCTTTTTTGTCGCTTTCTTCTTTTTTCTTTCTCCTTACTTTTTTTCGTGCAGATATTTTCTGTTATTTCTTTTAAAAAACTATATTGAAAAATTAAACGAATAAATTAAACAAACAAAAAGAGAAGTGATAATAATACTAATGAAAAACGGTTCAGTGTTTTGAATACAAAATGATGTAGTAAACAGAGGAAATATCGCATAGTAGTTGTTGTAATTTTTGTAAACGACAAAACAAACAGACCTAAACATTTTTGGCCCGTTTAGGGGCCAAAATGCTGTGATGTCAAAGATAGGGGAGGTGGAAGGATGAAAGTGGGAAAGGGGAAAGAGACGACAAAGAACAGTTAAACGGTTTTTCAAATACGTTTTGGCAGCGACTGTTAAAGACAAAAGTGGAACCAGTTTCAGTAACGAAAATTATGAGAAGTAATTTACCGATTAAACAGTAAAGGATCTATTAACAGCAAAGTTGTGCCGTAAAAATGTGTTGATCCATTACCAAAATCTAAAGTTGAAAATTCAAATGTCATTGGCGTATTTGTTATTAAAAATAAAATTTCAGAGTTCAATTATTGCCCATATATCGTACGTGTTAACGAGAGTCATAATTTGTTATTGATTCCTCCGACAAAATAAGTAATTTAGATTTAGAATACAGACAATATTTGGAAATTCATGAGCACATAGAACGCTCTTTGGCCAATTTCAGCAGACAAAGTGCTTAAGTGAGCCTGACCAACAGTCCATATTGCCTAACTATGCAAACATTCGCTGTACGTCACTTATGTAAACTATCATCCAGTACAATTTGATGCTGATTTATTGTCTTTACATAATGCCCTCCAGACTTAATTAACAATTCAAAGGTTTGGTGTAGGCTAATTTCAAATGGCATTATGTAATTACGGCATATATAGTTAAATATAGCTAGTTTAATCATGTGAGAACATTTCATAAAAACGAGTAGTTTTTAGTACTTTAGCTGTTCCAAAGGTTACAAATTTTCAAGGAAATAAATTTTCTATCATCGGACCAAGCATTATGAACAGCGATATATTGTAATTCAACTACTGTTGAAAACCTACTTGACTTAGACAACCACCCAGATCTGAAAGCTTTTATGGGCCTATCCAAAAACTGAACGTAAGTTCCTGTTTTGGAATATTAACGGTCAAAACGTTTATCGTACATATAATGCATAATTAAGTACCAAATAGGTAAATTATACAGGAAACATCAAGTGGGGCAAAAATCTGACTCTCTTCTCCTCCTCAAATATGCCTTACACTTAACATCTCATGCGATAATCCATACTACAAAGAGCTTACGCTAGAACAGAAAGACGAAGAAAGTTTGATCAAGTCGAGCAGTATGGAAAGTACATGGAAAGAGAATACTAAAAAACATTCAGTTTATAGAATCAAGTTTTTTCAGCCGAAAGTCTATTTTAAGGAACCGGATAGGCATAAACTCTTGACGCCCATGCAATAAAACTTTTCATGATCAATTTGGAATATAATCTACAACTACCATTAAGTTCGACTTTTCTATGGGTTCTATAGAGCTTCCAAATGCGGCTTCCAAAGCATAAGCAAATTTTGAAGAAGAAGCTACAGGGTTTCAAGTTGTCTGCATCATGTCATTATCAAATGCCGTCCAGAAAAGTTGATGAATATGCACTGAACAAAGTGCTCCACGTTCAGTGATAACATCTTAAAGTTGCACATATTCTCTTTTGCTCTCATTACATATCACGAAGCTTCATTCACATTAAGGGACTTCACTTGCCGCATGTTTTTACTTTAAAAGAAACATCCGAACGTTATGATGTTCTGACTTAAATATACACAGTACTTCTTTTGAGTGCTGTGATTAGCAAAACAAAAAGAAAAGAGAAGAAAATGATGTAATTATCCTGATGCAACTAGGCCTTTTCAACAGCTAAAGGGTCAATGCTACTTTGTGCTAATGACTTTTCCCCGGCTCTAATAGCGCAAGACAGTATTTTGAACTTTTGCTCAAACGCTGTAAAGAATTCCTGCTCCACCTCATAAGGGCTTCTCAACAATCTCCATAAGTTCATGGCTTAAGCGTGGGAAAATGGTTTCTAAAGAAACATTAATGATAAGAGCCATTTTCCTTATTTGTAAAGAAACTGTGTAGCAGATATACTGACGGAATGTTGTATCATTTTATTGTTATTTTAGAATAAATATTCTATTATGCAATGAAACTTCGAAGGTGCATCACAAATATCAGTTGAGAACCCATACGCACTAAGTCTTTTTCATCTCTGTACAATACAATGAATACACAACAGCGGAATGCTGTTATGGAGTGCACACATTGGGGTGCAAATTCGACCAAAAATCCTAAGCAAATATTTACATCCTTAGTGGTAAAAATGAGTCAGAAAAAACTTAGAAATTAGTTGAGGAAAATCTGACTATGTGTGAAAAATAATCAAGTTTAT